CGCCCCGGGCCCCCGTCCCCCGGCGGTGTCTGTGCGGCAGCGCCCGCCCGCCGCCTCCTGCCCCGGGTCCTGCCCTTGCCCCGCGGGGAGGGCGCGGTGCGGCCTCTCCGGCGGGGCCGCTCATTATCCGCTGGCTGCGCCCTCAGCCAGTTTCGCTTTTGTTTTGGCGGAGGGAGAAGGTGGGGAGCGGGGCACGGACGGGGGCGGGCAGCGCTGGTCACCTGCTTGACGCGAGTGCTCCTGCCTGTGCCTGCGCACCCGCCACGGGCTTGTAATTCTGCTTATCGAGGTGGTTAAATAGCTTGGAAATTTGGGGCGTTCTTTGATACTGGACAGAATACTATGTTTATTTGTGTGAACAAATAGATGCAGTATGACAGCTGCGTGTTTTAAAAAATGAGGCGATGGAAACAGCATCCTTTCATTATCCTGCTGAGTAAATATGTTTCAATAACCTCTGTTTACCTTAGGGCTTATCAAACAGGTATCGCTTCCCATGCCCTGAATAGTCTGAACCTTAGGGTAGATATTCTGCCCTCCTATAGTTCTTACCATGGTCAATGCAAGACATTTAATAATCAAGTTGGTGAGCTTGTGCATTGCTGACGCTGGAGCACAGCATTCCCAAAAAACCCAGTGTCTTATAGTAAAAGTTACACCATACTTGTTAAAAAGTCTCTAAAACACATTTAAATTTATATTTCCATTAAAGTTGTAAGAGAATGCCAAATAACTGTTGTCTTAAACTGTTTCACTTCAGAATACTTGAATGACCATGTGGATGCTTTACACAGTATTAGATTTTAATCATCCTGAACACGGTGTTACTGATTAATGACATTGGGATGTACTGTGGGGAGGACTTTTTCTCACCCTTCCTTCTTCCCTTCGGTTTTGCTTCTCTTTGAAGAAAGGGCTCTTTTTCTCACCCTTCCTTCTTCCCTTCGGTTTTGCTTCTCTTTGAAGAAGAGATGCCTTGGATGTACCATGTGTGTTTCCAAGATAGTGACTTCTGATATAGCACAAAGTACAGCTTCATTACCACAAGCAATTATTATGATTCTTAATGTCTTTTGTGGACCATGATTATTTTTCCTTGGGACCAGCTGGAAATGGTCTCATGTTTTTCATAAGAAGGGTATTAGGGCTTTTTGAAGATTACCATTTCCCCCTCTCCCATTCTGGAAGTGAGCTGTTGTCTGCCTCTGCTAAGGTTCATGTTTCTGTGAAACATACATCAGTGTGTTTTTCAGCTTGCTTTCTTTGATGGATCTTTGTTTTGTCACTTCTCACTGATTTTTCTGTGTGAGCTCCTGCCGACATAAATGAATTGAATTAATAACCATGTTACAAATATGACAATATTTACAGCAGTTGACTAGCTTGGTTCATTAGTCAGGGGGGTGGGTTGTATGCATGCATGCTAAAAGTTGCATCTGATTTCATTGCTTTTTTCTTAAACTGAGAAGTGATATATCCTGTGAGAGCCAGTAGTGGTTAAGGTAGTAAGCTGGTTGCTAAATAGTTTTTTAGCATGACATTTGATTCTTTCCCTTACAGAGGTCTGCCTCTTGGGCTCAAAGTCTGTCACTAGCTTTCTGCTTTCCCATCTGACCTTGAAATTTTGGAAAGACAAGAGTCACTTGTCCATCTGTTTGAAATGGAAATAGAAGTATTCTTTCCACATTTTTTTGTAATCGTACAATGTCATGTTTCTGAGCAGGAGCTGGACTTGCTTTGTGCATGGCATGTCACACATCAGGTCCTTTCTAGATTGGGTGCATAAGACAGAGACTAGTGGAAACAAGAGGCCTTCACAGTTGTCTCTTTTTTAAATCTTTACTTTTTTTTACTTTACTTTTTCCCTAGTTTTATTTAGATACTTTAATGTTGAATGGGGTTTTTTTTGGTTTTTTTTCTTTGCAATAAGTCTCTCCTGCTATTTTTGATGTGAAGTTACTGGCACAGCTTCTGCATTTTCAAGCTGTGTGTTGACTGAAAGATGTCACTGTCCTATTGCATAGTGCTGCACAAGCTCTGCGTATTGCCCTGTGTTTTCTTTTTCATGTCCCAGTCAAAGCTTTCAGATTTTGTGGCTTTTCAAATGTAACACCAAAAATGTCTCATGAAAGCCTGAGGTGAACATCGGCTATAAACTGACAGTAGGAATTTCAGATACTCTGGTAATAGTTTAGTTTGTTCTTACCCCAAATTTTCTTAGATACAATTGAAACAGTCTTTGAATAAAAGTGAACAAAATTTTCAGGAAAGTTGTTTTCTTCATGTGACACTCTTAAATTAATAGTTTGGTGAGATAATGAACTTCACAAAGCGTCATGATGTTAGATTAATTGGTGTTATGTTACAGGCTACTCGTGCCTATGGAACATTAATGTTCCATTCCAAAGCATTAAAAATGAGGGATTGTGAGCTTCATTTTGGAGGGGGTGGGTGTTCTTTGTGTCACTCTATCATAGTGGTGCAACGGTGTACAAAGTTTAAACTGAAAAATTCAAAGGAAGTGTGTATTTTTTAATGATTGTGCAATGTTGCGTGACATGTTTAATTCTTCTACAGATTAACACTAAAGCCCCACAATGTCCTTGAAACCACGAGTAGTTGACTTTGATGAAACATGGAACAAACTTCTAACAACGATTAAAGCTGTTGTGATGTTGGATTATGTTGAAAGAGCAACGTGGAACGATCGCTTCTCGTATCCTTTAAGTGAAAAATCTGACTTAATGTGTTTGTGTGATGTGTTTAGCACAGAGTAAACCTGTGTTGTATAACAGTGATCTTGAGCAGCTTGTTGTTAGGCTGCACCTGTTATTAAGACTGTGAATAAATTGAAAGAGATGCGAAATTCTGCATATTTGGGAGGCAGTCTATGTGCAGATCACCATGCTGATAAAAGGTAAACTGGCCTGAGTTTTAGTCACTTCTGGTAGCTCTGATGCTTGGCTTATGCTAAAGCTGTTCTTACAGGTGTTGCATGTCCCCTATTCTGACAGTGAGGTTTTCTTGTATGTTTAAGTGTTTGTGTGTAGCTGGGTAAATACCCAAGACAGAGAGTGCACATCTTTAAATTTGGGATGTGGGGGATGATGAGGTTCTGTGTAAAGATTTCTCCCTCTTCTTTGCATTTCTGACTGTACTGATAACTACCATACTAGACATTTCCACAGCAAGCATTTATTAAAAAGCCTTCTGCCTTTCCCTTCACTGTTATTGCCTTATTACTTGTGACAGTTAAGCTATATTTAGGAATAACTACTCTTTCTGCCTTCATATGGTGTTGCTGTTCAAGTGACAGCTGTACATACATTGTTTTAGTGGAAAGGTTTGTGTTTCACATGTAAAATGGACCTGTAATATTTTGCAAGATATAAGTTTCAGTGAACTTCTTCTAAAAGAAGTATAATGTTTCTAACCTGTTACACTGTGCCCTGTGTCTATATATTCATTAGCCATTACACTGTGGTGAATAATTGGAGAATTTTAGGAGGCTTTGCACCTGTTCTGCAGGGATTGGTCACAGTTTGGTTTAATTGTGAGGAGTAAGAAACGTTTAGACTTATTTATTGATTTGTTAATTCTTGTGGGTGAAAAAAGAAGCACCTGAGAAGATCCTTATGTATAAGTTTTTACAAGATAAGCTTATTCTGTGGGTGGGGGGCTTGCTCAGAATTGCTTTCCCACGTGCCTGTGTTTTGAATGTGTGCATGTGTATATGTACATGGCTCCTAGTTCTGGTGGAGACATTTTGTGGTGTAATAATCTTAAAGATCTCTTTCATTTAAAAATTTTGTAATTAATTTCTGAGGGCGTGACCTGACACCTTGTATTGAAGTCAAGTTCATGTGACTCCAGAATTTAAAAAAAAATTGAACTAATTAGGTGGGTACTTATATGCTGAGAAGTTGTTCTGCAGTCATTCTTTCTAAGCAGTTTTTGAGGATTACATAATTCAGTCTTTATCAAGTAGTTAAATTCTGCAGCTTAAAATTTTAAACATTTAAACAAGGGTATCTAAAATAGATTTGAATATAAAATAAGAATTGTTGCAGAAGATGCTGTATTGATTCCTTGTCACACTGTTTTGCTTACAACTTATGTGGAGACCTTGCACACAAGTTTGCTGTTGATCCTCTTTTGGGATTTAGTCCAGTTGATTGAACATCAGAAAAAGATTGCTTATGAATAGCAGACTCAGGAGGCAGTCTTGGAATAATCATTTGGCTTGTAATTCTTAAGACCTTACCTAGTATCTTCTCTTAATTACATTCCTTGGAAAGTGGCACTATTAGTGTTCCATTTGGCACAGGCTTGAGCCTTTTGGCTTATTGTCTGTGCCTGAATGGCCCAAGGAGTTTGTGTAACTTCCAGCTTGAATGTTGGTTCTTTAGTACTTCTGCTTCCTGTAACCAAACTTTGTGTTTTAACACAAGCTGCTCAATGGGTGCTCAAAACTTGGTGGAGCTGGTAATTCTATACAGCTGGAATAAAAGCTTTTTCCAGGTTTTATACATAAAGAAGACTGAAGTATTAAGGATATTTTTTTAAATTGGCATTTAAAAAATACGTCATCTTGTTCCCTGTTAACTTTTTATTCTCTCTTAAATTCAGTTTAATTTGAAGTAATGTTTCTAAACGTCTACAGCAATTTGAAAGGAAATGTTCTATTAACTCTTTCTCTTATTGCTTAATCAGCACAATAGAAAGATGGCAAATTATTTGAACTGTTTCAATAAAACCCATGCAGGTTATTTCATTGATTATAGTATCAGTTGACCTTTGTACTGTATAGTCAACACAGTGATGTGGACACAAAGGATAAGATACAGCAAGCAATCACTGTTTCAATTTGCATCAGTGTATTCTAAGAAGTGTTAGCTTTCCCTTGTGCTGTTCAGGGCAGCTGAGATCCAGTGGAATACAGAAGCTGACAGTATTTTAGGGATGACACGTTTGTACTGCACATATTCCACTTCTAGAACTTATTTTTGCCTCACTAGTTCCCCAGAACTTGTTTGTCTTGAATATAGTGTTTCCTTTGTAACTTATGGTAATTTTATTGTTAAACATGGCTTATCTTTAAATAAACATTTTACTTCATACTTGAAATGCTACAATGGCAATGAGCTGGGAACCACAATGGTGTAAGAGTTAAAATCTGCTGGAAAAGATCACCTGAAAGACCATATGTCACTTTTTTTTTTAAATGTGAGTCATCGTGATCCACCTTTGACCTTCAGATTTCCCTTGAAGATTCTCTGCAGAAAGAAATGTGTATGAGCTTGTTTCATTGTCTGGTAAATGAGCGACAGTTATGTCTCTGTTTGAGGTGTTATTGTGAATACATTGTATCACTTTCAAGACTGTTCAGTAGGCATAGGAGTGCTTTTTAAGTTAAGGCTCGGTTAGAGAGTGGTGGGTAGTTCCTCTGTACTTTGGTAACTGCCTTTTAACTAGAACTTTTTGGAACAGGTAGAACATCAAGCTCTTCCTGTTGTTGTCTTGGGATTTCTACCCAATAAGTTAAAATAAGCTGA